TGTTGTGTACCATAATCATCAACATTATTTCCTTAATTAATGATTTGCTTAGTGGCGCAACATTTAATACATTTTTGGATGATATGCACCGTATCAAGCTTTCTTCAAAATTAGTAATCTTACTTTGTAAATTAATCTTTGCGGCTATATAATAACACTCTTACTAATAGTTTCAAATAGCTTATATAGGATGTATTACTGGGATAGTCTCTTTGCAATACAACCTAAATAACTTTACAAAAACACCCAAGAATTCATAAGGAAGATGCATGAGGGAAGTGTCATTTATCAGCTAATTTTCTGCAAATAGTAAAATTACCCCTCCCTCAAATAACTATAATTATATAAACATATATGTATATGTGTAAAGAGTGCGGTAATTTATTAAACACATACTTTTCTATAAGGTGTGCGGGTATGCATCACATCGTTAGAGGCAACTGGGACTACCCAATCACCACCAATACTAACACAAACAACATCTAATATACTCGATACGTAGAGGCGGATTGATTTGGCAAGGTGAGGCGTATCGGGTATATAGTAGGGGCAAAACTGACTTTTCGATTCTTATAAACGAACAAATCCCTTTTTTTAAATTTAAGGGCAAAACGAACCCTTTTGTAACGTTTTTACATACATGGGGGGAGAACATGATCGAACAAACCCCATTTTTTATTTAAGGGCAAAACGGGGCTTGTGCTTCAGGACTTCTCGTTACGTCGGATCGGAGCCTTCTTCACGTTTCGTGGTCACGTGCGGGCGAACTTGTTCTGACGGCTTTGCCGGCAACAACATTGTACGATATCAGATATGTTAGAATTGGCATCACTTGGGTAGGCAACTGATTTTCTCTGGACAATCACGCAAAATTGAACGAACTCAATTTTTTTAAAAAAATTTTCGTTACAGTAATAAATAATATTCGCGTTGAACAATCGGCTGCCAGTGTGAAAATGACCTAAATGGTGTTAACTGGCCAGAAATTCTTTACTTTTGGTTCATATAAAGAAAGGGTTTTCAATAATATTACAATAGAAAATAGTGAATGCTATCGGAATTTATGTTATATACTTCAACGTGATGAGTGATAAATTTATCAGATATGAGTAGAAAAAAGATACAGGAGTTTTCTATTAGCGTGTAGATCAATCGTAAACTATTAAATGATCTTAAAATAAATTCATTACCATCTAAAAGAAAGTGATATTTTTATGATTTATCAAGATAAGGAACTTAATTAAAATATATTATTGATTTAGAACAAATTGGGTCTTTTTTTTTTTACTCTTTATTGCATTTCTATTATGACAAAATACCTTCTCCCAGTTCTTTTACAGGATGAACAATGAATTTTTTTTTTTTTATACATAGAATTTATACTCAAATAATTCCTTAATTAGTATTAATGTAGATAACAATGATCATATTCTTAACTTTCGAATATGTAATAGCTAAAAACGAAAGTAAAATTTTTATGAATCCTAGAAACAAAAAAGTCGACACGCCCAAACCTTTAGTAAAGAAAAGGCTGGTACCTCTTTTTGATCATGTTCCATCTATCAAAATCGAGCTTCGCATCAATGATTCTCAAGGTGAGAGTATGCAACCAACAACCATAATTTCAGAGTACTTTTCAAAGGCTCCCATTTAGAAATTGTAGTCGGGTAAAAAATGTTATTGCATAGTTACTGTATAATAAATTACCCGGTTAACTGGCAATTTATTAGTACTTGGTAGAAATTTTCTCTCGTGCGCCCCCTGCCTATTAAATTTCTTCATTGTAACTATGTTTTGAACAATGACATTCAAATCACGACATTAACTGTACATAGTTTTGGTTTTTACTTGATTTTAGGTTTATAACTAAAACCTGATCAATAGTTCTAACTCAAAAAAATTTTATTAAACTGGTAAAAACGCAATATATGATTATTGTATTATTACATTGTATTATATGTCTATTAATTTAAATATCTGATTTATAGTATATATTAATATATCAAGTTGTATCTTTTAAAATATGTCAAATTGTTTGATTCGCATTAAATATACCTGTATCATAAATTTAAGGTGGTGTTAATAGTCGCAATCATGGTAATAGTATTGATTCTATAAAGAGAATCCAAACGGTTGTGAATGGTTGCCATTGCGCAGATTAGAGGATTAGAGGACTATAATATTTAAAGACAGTATCATATATGGGACTCCCCACAGCAAAAGGGGGCAGTGGGCCAAAAAATTTTTATTTTATTTTAATTGATTTCTTGAAGAATTAGATTATAGGGATATGATTTTTATAAAATTACAAAATCGAAATTTTTGTCCCACTGCCCCCTTTTGCTGTCCATATAATGTCATATTATAATACATGAGAAAATCGTAATTATGATTCTTTCTAGCTATAAAGAACAACTTAATGTTATCATTATTCTTAATATTCTTTCGCATAACCCTGTATTCCCAGAATTTATGAGAAACAGTTATTTTGGGTTGTCTAACTTGATCAGAAAAGTTCGGTAATTGGTGGCGATTTCATTAATAAGTTCGGACATATTTACTATCACCATGATTTTTTGTCCTCATCGAGCAGTAAGTTTTTCTGAGTTCCGTTAATTTCTGTCTAACGAAATGCAAGAGGGCTCATATGTCAGTTAATGTTGGGTGAGCAGGGATACATATCTATAAAATGTGAAAAAAAGATCATTAGCACATATATAAGTGTCGATATCCTCACAGAAACATACATTAATTTGTGCGAAAATGAGAGGTATTTTGATAGAGTGATAAAGAAAGTTACAACCGTTTGCAAAAAGAAATTACTTCATTGAATGAAGAAACTAAAAAGGTATGAAGACAATGTTAAAATGTTTGATGCTCAAATATTGGAATTAACACCAAAGCTTCGAGAGACTGAAATTGAAA